TCTGTTCCTTTTGGAAAATTCAGAAATAAATTGTGATGTTGACATAACAAAATTAATAACCTAATATCGCTGCAAATCCTTGCACTTGCTTCACGTAAATAAGCTTTACTTATGCCAAACCTCAATTTGATTTGACTGCTTCCGCAGCTTTCGGACAGCCGTTTGTTGGTGACTTTGACGCTGAGGTTAGATTAACCAACGGTAAAAGCGGAAGGCACAAATTTTTGGCTAATGGAGCGCCTTAGAGCAGACTGACTTTGAAAGCATAGAGATTCACGGAAATTCCCACTCTTCAACGGCAAAAGACGACACCACGCAATAAAACGCAGTTCATCCATTGTTCCCTTTTAGAATGTTCACTATCTTGATTCTAGCTGGAAGTGTGAGTGCAAATGTAAACGAGAGAGCTTTAACTATTGGTCGAAACGATAGAGCTTCAACTATTGGTCAGTTTCTTTGATAATTATCTATCAACAATCAACGCGATGCACAACATTTTTTCAGGCGAGGTTAAGCAACTTTCCGATGCAGGCTTGTATGAGCGCCTGAAGAAAGACCAGACGCTTTTTCAGGTAATATGAATATTCTGATATGTTGTAAATCACGGGTTTTCTTGTTATCACATAATACACTTGATAGAACAAAACCCTTTGAGCTTAGATGGCAAAATGTTCGGAGACAGAAGCACGCATGAAGTTTTTAATGGATAGGAAGTATGTGATCATACCGGATGACAGACACAGGATGTCATTTGAAGACGATGAAGAGCCTCCCGAAAGGTTAGATATGACAAAGACCCATGTAGTAAGTTCAACTACAATAAGCAATTTGAGAAATTAGCATGACATGGTCTTTTATGTAGATTCGACGCAAGAGAAGAATGGCCGCAATGCCCTTCCATCAACGAAATCTACGATCAATCAAATTGCGGTAGGAAGTCATTCCCCTACGTATCAAAATATGATAATAAACTTAATTTCAAAACCAAAAAATACCAGCTTACTTTTGCTTGAGTAAGTACTACAAGGAAAAATTACAATAGTAGATTTGCAAATATCATTCGATTTTAGAGGTAGAAACCGTTGATAAAACATAAATTAAAGCTATGCGATAAAACTAGCAAAATGCAGCTGATGCAGAATAAACTGAAAGGTTAGTTGGCCAGTACTTGTATCTAGGGCTCTATTGTTCTTCATTAATGTCTTAGTGCAACACGAAAATACAATATTTTTTTTATTCTTTAATGATTATTACCTATCAAGTTCTTATGAAATTGGTTAATCGCGCCTTTTCTATCC